GGCCCAAGACAATTTAAATACCACTCATTACACCATTTGGTTCTTGTTCTTCTCCACCCCCCTCAATCAAGTGCTTGAGTTAAAAAAAAAATCTTTTTTTAAAAAGTCACTTTTAATTAGCTTGGATTTATCCTTTTAATTAAGCTTGCTTACTAGTAGGTTCATATCTTTTCTAAATAATGAAAGCATGGCTGTACATTTTCCTCAGAGCACTTTTGCTGGGTGTCTCATACATTTGGGTGCCCCGTGTTCCTGAAATTGGGGAAACAAGTTTCCTAACTTACTCCAAACCTCCCTCCATGGGGCAGGGCTTGGGCTCTTGAGAGAACAGGGGCCATGTCTGCCATGGGGCCCCAGGGCTGAAACAGTGATAGGCACAGACTGACTAGAAGGGTAGATAAATGAACACAGTGAAGTGACAGATGGGACCAGAGAGGTTAGGGACGCATTAAAAGTCACACAGCTCAGCAGAACTGGCCTGACAATCCACCTTATAGTTCTCAGTTTAGTAATCTGTCAGCTCACAAAGGGATCAGCAGAGCCAGACTGGATCTGCTTTTTATTTTTTATTTTTATTGATTTTAGAGGAAGAGAGAGAAATATCAATGTGAGAAATGTTGATAGGTTGCCTCCCACATGGGCTCTGACCATGCCCTGACTGGGGTCCAAACCACAACTTGGGTAATGTGCCCTCACCAGGAATCGAACCGGCGACCTTTAAATGCATGGGGCGACACTCAGCCAACGAGCCACATGAGCAAGAGCGGGGTCTGCTTTTGAAGTACAGCAGAAATGAAGCATAGCTAGGGACACGTTCTAGGGAAATATGAGTAATGGTGCTGGACGCTGATCAGAAAGGGAGCTTCAAGGTGACTGTCTACAGGAATGAGTTTGCCAAGAGCCCGGTAGGTGGGGAGAGATGGTCATTCTGGGTCTCCCGGGAAGTGTTTGGCATCCCTTCACAATTAAGAGAAAAATGGTTTTGAGACCAGGGTGGCCAGTGGCTTTACAGCCATCTGGGCTCCACAGGGCGAGCCAAAGGACTCCCACTGGCACTTTAAGCCTGGTTAGTAGGCTGAGAGGACAATGGGCCAGAAACCCCTCCAAACCTTCGCCCGTCTCCCTCTGCCCACAGGGAGGAGGCAGGACAAGCTGTGTCCCCATTGTCTGGCCACCCCTTAAGCACTGCCCCCAGCCCCCCTCCCTGGGAGCCTACAGCAGGATGGGGCGGGGGCGAGGGTGACTGAGCCCTTTGAAAGGTTTTCCTGGCAGAGTTTAAAGCTTCAATTCATTCAACTGCCTGGCAAGAGGCCCGGGATGAGGGGATGCTGGGAAGGCCCCAGCCCCACATCCCAGCCTTCACCTTAGCCGCCCCCACTTCCTGGGGACCCTGGCAGGCCTCCCGCTGCTCGCTCTCATTATCAAATAGCACCCACCCTCTTTCCTCTGGGGAATCCAGGTATCCTGCCCCTTTCCTGTGGAGCAGATGGCTACCCCAGAGGCTCCGGCTGGCTAAATTAGACACTTAAATCCCGTAATCCGTGGTGAGTGGCTGACAAGGGGGCAGGAGAGAACCCTGTGCCAGGCCTGGCAGGGAGGGAGGAGGGACAGTTATGGATTCACCCCCACCCTTGTTGTCATGCAGCCTGCAGGCTGACCCAGTCTCCAGCTTTTGTTCTCCTCCTGGAACCCGGGTGTGGGGCTCCCCAGCCCACATTCCCTGGAGACTCAGGTGGCTGCTTCCCAATGTCACCTCCTTAACTCACCCCTGCACTGTCGGCCCCAGGCAGCCAGCACTGGCACTCACCCTCAGACACACAGGTAGAAGCAAGTTTTATTGTAAAATAAGAAACCAATATAAAAAAATGTGATATAAAAGGGGAAGAGGGGAAGGAGTGCGGGTGTGGAGTACAGATGTGCCTTTCCGACTGCAGAGGAAACGGATCCTGAGCATTTGGGGGAAGTAAAACAGATCTTGGAAGATACGGATCCTTCACTGGAGGTGAGACCCTCCAGGGTGTGGGGTGAGACGTGATCTCCTTTGAGATGGTGAGGTTCCCCGACTTCAGACAGGAGTTGGCCAGGACAGCAGAGAAGGGATTTAGAAGTTCCCTCCTCTCAACTAGCTGCCTAGTCCCAAACATCCGTCATTTCACTAACCCTCACAGTGAGCCCCCTAAGGCAGGCATCATTATTGACATTTTGTCAATGGGGACAATGAGGTTAGGGACATTTCCTACCTCCCCCAAATGGTCTTCAGAGTAAAGACCTTAAAAGTTAAGCTGAAACATCTCAGCTCCCTCCAGCTTCCCTCAAAACGCAGCAGTGCAGGCCGGCTTGTGTAGTGGAGGCCTCAGCCAGAGCAGACGGAACTCTGGGCGTGTCTGAGGCACATCTGTACCAAGCAGAGGTTTAAGCTCCCAACCCCAAAAATGCGCCAGGAAGAGGGGGACCAGGGTGGGGGTGTCAACGGGGGACAGGAAGCAGGGGACGTCAGTCGGAGTCAGGTCCTTCTCTCTTGAACATGAGTCTTTTTTTATGGCGGGAGGTAGACTGCCCCTTTTTAGGTTTCAGGTGGCTGTGGAGAGAAGAGGGGAGGGAGGAGGTGACACCATCAGAGTGAGAGGTGTAGGGCCTCTCTTCCCACGGCTAGGTTTTGGAGGGCCTGAGGTTGGAACAAGGCGAATTTAAGTTGAAATAGTCGCCATTAACTGCAGACATGCTTACTGAGCAGCAGGCGTACTTGTCTGTCTGTATTAAACTCCCAACCTTCCCTTATCCCATTCGACAAATGAGGAAACTGAGCTGGATAAGGGGGGGTAACAAAGCCACACAGGACTTGTTAGCTCTCAGCGGGGCCGAAGATCTGACCACACCCCGGCTCTGCCTGGCACTCCCACGGTTACCAGGCCCCTTCTGGGGACCCCAGGCCTGAGAGAGAGGTGGCTAGAAACGGCAAGGAAATATCCACGCTCATCGTGGGGCTGGAGGGGTTTGTGGGCCGCTCCACCTGACGCAGGAAAGTGGTCACAGGATTCAACTAGAGGAGGAGTAAAGAACGTCCAGGCAGGGCCCGGAGCCAACGGGAGAACTCAGCCGTCTGTTACCGTGAAGGCAGGGTTACAGTGGAATCCCAGGCCTTCCCACGGGGAGTGGGGCTGAAGGGGGACCCAGGTCACGCACCTGGAGTGAGTCTTGCTTCCACCCGGGTCCTTTCCAGCCAGGACATCGTCCTGTAGCTCTAAGGCTTCATTCAGTTTCCGGAACGTCTCAAAGCGTTCACGCCCACGGATCTGTGGCAGGGGAGGAGGGAAAAATGAAGTATTAGGCCAAGTCATGGAACCATTTTCATTTTCTCCTTAACAAATTTTCTTTTGAAAGAGCCTTTAAAACAGCGGCTCTCAACCTGTGGGTCGCGACCCCTTTGGGGGTTGAACAACCCTTTCACAGGGGTCGCCTAAGACCATTGAAAAACACATATAATTACATATTGTTTTTGCGATTAATCACTATGCTTTAATTATGTTCAATTTGTAACAATGAAAATACATCCTGCATATCAGATATTTACATTACGATTCATAACAGTAGCAACATTACAGTTATGAAGTAGCAACGAAAATAATTTTATGGTTGGGGGTCACCACAACATGAGGAACTGTATTAAAGGGTCACGGCTTTAGGAAGGTTGAGAACCACTGCTTTAAAATATAGGTTATGGTACAAGATGGCATCCTGAAATCAGACATCACCAAGAGCCATTGTTTCTAGGCACCACTGCCCCCTAATGGCAAATGCCCTAATTGCAGGGGAAGCAGCCAGGAAGAAAATAGCGTTTTTGAATGCTAGACTTGAAACTTAATTTTTTTTTTAAGTGGCTTAAAACAACACACTTTTATTATCTTCTGTATGTCACGAATCTGACACAGATCTCATTGGGCTAAAAACCTAGGTGGCAGCAGGTGCATTCTTTTGGAGGCTCTAAAGGAGAATCCATTTCCTTGCTCATCATCCAGATTACTGGCAGAATTCAGTTCCCAGTCGCTGTCATTGCTGGTCACCAGCAGGTGGCTGCTGCCAGCTTCTAGAAGGCACTATGGTTCCTTGGCTGGCAGGGAAGGCAAACGTTACCTTTACTAAACCTCTCCTTTATCTGGGCCTTAAATAAAGTTCCTTTTCCTCCAACTAATCGTTCAGTGCATGTGTTGAACCTGAACAAAGGTGCCGATATTTTGCTAGATGCTGGGCCTGCAGAGATGACTCACACGTGGTCCTTGCCTTCCAAGTTGGAAGCAACTTCACTCCAGGCTCATTACGTTTCGACTAGGCACACCCACATGTTCAAGTCGAAACTTAATCTCAAGACCGTGGGTCAAGACCAGAGAAAGGATAGATGGGCCTACCTCACACCTGCTACATTTACATCTTTTATGCACTTATCCGATCCCACCAAGTAGGGGCAAGAGACTGCCCCGTCTTCCTTTCCCAGACGTGGTACCTGAAGGGTGAAATATTCTTCATCCGCTGGCTTCTTTGGCGGAGGAGAGGAGTCAGTGTTGGTGGGCAGTGCTGGGAAAGAGGTAAGGAAGGGTGAGAAGGGTGAATCTGGGCAGAATCACACCCTCTCTCCCTCCTCTGCTTCCCCTCTCGCTGCTTGCTTATTACCTCGCTTAGTGCTCCCAGGGGGCTGCTTGGGACTCCCAGGGGGCTGCTTGGGACTCGGCTCCCCCTTCTTGCGGAAATTTTCTTCCTCTGTGCGCCGGTCTCTCCCAGGACAGGCACAAATACGCACCTCAAAGCTGTTTCGTCCCAGCAGATTACCACTACCCGGGGCAGCAGAGGGGAGCAGGAGGCAGTAAGAAGGTGGGCACTACATGTAAACCAGGCCCCACCTACTCCCAACCACCTTCATCCCATGTGGAGCCTAAGCTCCAGGACCAGGCCTATGGAGAAGCCACAGGTTAGAGGTTGCAAAGCCAGAGAAAAGAAAACTGCGGGGGAGCAACAAGGAGGTTCTACATATAGGAATGGGAGAGGGAAGGAGAAACGGTGGAGGGGTAGGGTGCAGGGGAGAGACAGGCAGAGGCTAGGGAGGAGCATGCCAGCATAAAGGGTGGTGTTCGAGTCCCTACTTGGAATCTTCCAGTGTGATGATGGTGAGGATGGGCCGCCGGTTCATGCCCCCCATGCAGGAGCTGTTACACATGAAGTTGTAGTGAATGGTGGCGTACTCGGAGCCCACCTGGGAGAAAACAGAGGCCCCAGGTGAGGTCACCCGGCCCTGAAGCCTGTAGCCTCTGTGAGCTACAGTTCCGCAGCTGCCGAATGGCAATAACCCATCTGCTGCTCTGCACACATCCCAGCTGGGCGGCCACTGACAAACCCTTCTAACCTCCCTGCTCCCAGAGACCCCAGTTGCCACACCAGACCTCAGGCGGCTCGTAGGGCACCACCACACTATGTCGGAAAGTGTTCATGTCATCCAAATACTCAGCACGCAAATTCCCTTCCACCCGGATAAGGTGATGAGGAGGAGCCAGACCTAGGAGCAATTAGGAAAGAGTCAGGCACCTGGGGACTCTGGGCCACAGCCCTGTCCCATCTGCAGCCCGACGCTCACCGTCACTGTACTCGGAGCAGCGCTCATGGTGGGGGCAGCGCCGCACGACCTCCGTCATGTGCTCGGACTTCTTGTAGATGGCCATGGCACGGACCCGGGAATGGAGCGGGGGTGGGGAGCTGACCCACAGCTGCACCGGGCAGGACTTTGCCATCTGGCAAAACAGCTTGTTGAGGACGGGGGAGTACTGTAGGAAAAGGAGAAAGAAGGAACGGGAGGTCAGGGGACAAGCACTGCTTAAGCACCAACTGAAAGCCATGTACTGTGTGGGGAGGGTGGCTAGGAATGGGCAGCATTGGAGACCTGTGTCCCAGGAGCTAATCTACAAAAGCTAAGGAATGAAAGAGGGCGAAGAGAGAAAGAAAAGTTCCCTGGCCTCAGGAGAGATGCTGAGAGCATGACGCCCAAGGCCAAGGGAGAATTCGACTTTGGGACAGAGGTCAAGGTCATAGGCTAAACAGGCAGAACGTAGAAAGACAAGCCAAAGGCTGAGAGAGATTCTAGCGTTCTGAACAGAAAAACTCAGGGGGATATGGTCAGGCATTGAACTGTCACATGGAAGCCAGACTCCCAGGGCCACTGACCGTGCAGGTTACAGACTTGGCTGTCCCAGATTTCAGGAAGTCTAAACGGAAGCCATAGCTACCAGGATAGGTCTTCGGGGAAGGGACAGAGGATGACAGGGTGCAGGAGGTGGCTGGTGCTGGGACAGCAGCTGCTGGTGCAGGAGTTGTTGCCATGCTGGAGGCTTCATTTGGGCCGTTGTCCAGACAGTCTTCGAGGCTGAAGGGCATCCAGTCCAGTCCACCCACTGCCTGGGAGTCCTCAGGATTCCATGCATGAGGAAAACGAGTCAGAGGGCTAGGTCCCCAGGCTGTTGCCCTGTGGCCCCTGGTCCCTCCCCATCCCTAGTCCTTACCAGATCATTGTTTCCGTGAAGTCTGAAAGACAAGAGCGGAAAGAAAGTCAGTATTGGTTCTTGCTTTCTATAGGCCTCTACTCCTAGGGAGCTGGGGGATGGGGGGAAGGGGGAGTAGGCAGGGGGGATGCGCAGTCGTTATCAGAGGGTGGGCAGTGAACATGCCCCTCCCAAGAGACCTCTACTCACGAATTCCACAAGTCTGAAAATGTCTCCTGACTCAGAGGGGGGTCCACGACTTCTAACTGTTGGTCATCCATTGCAGCTCCCTGGAAGGCAGCGTGGCTGTGGGGGGGTGGGGGGGAGAGAGTGAGGATCCAGCCTGCAACACACCCAACACCATATCAGGGTCTGACACAGGAGTCCCCTGACTTCCCAAGGGGCAGGGCTAGTTCACAACTTCTTTCTTCAAATCGTTTATCACAACCCAGGCTGCTCCTTGCCCACCTCTCACCAGCCTTACTACACACTTGCTCGAGAAAAAAACAAAACAAACAAACAAACAAAAACCAGAGAGGGACTTCCAATCTTTCCACCCATGAATCCACAAGCCTTCCTGGGAACTGTACCTTACTTCTGCCTTCCTTCCTGCTG